CGCGGCGCCGGGCCGGGACCGGGACCGGGGCCGGGCGGCGCGGGGCTCTGCAGGCGCCGCCTCGCCCGCAGGCATCCTGCACGGCGGCAGCGCCGACTTCGAGAGCGTGGACGACCTGGTGGAGGCGGTGGGCGAGCTGCTGCGCGAGGTGTCGCGGGACGCCAAGGACGACGGCGCCATCCGCGACGTGTGCGAGCGCCTCTTCAACACGCTGCAGCTGTAAGCGAGCGGAGCGGGAGCGGGAGCCCGAGCGGGAGCGGGAACCCGAGCGGGAGCGGGAACCCGAGCGGGAGCGGGAACCCGAGCGGGAGCGGGAGCCCGAGCGGGAACCCGAGCGGGAGCGGGAACCCGAGCGGGAGCGGGAGCGGGCCCGGCCGCGCCGCCCGCCGCCTCAGCCGCCTCCTCCTCCCCGCGCAGGGACGAGCGCGGCGGCCAGGGCTGCAGCCAGGTGCTGCTCGACGCCCCCATCCAGCTCTCGCAGATCACCGACAGCTACGGTGAGTGCGCCCGTGGGCTGCGCGGGGAGGTGCCCRGGCCCGTCCCCACCGGGACGCTTGGTGGGGACAGGCTTGGGACGCCCCTTTCCCTGGCTCGTCCCCCCATGGAGTCGTTCCAGCCCCCGGCTGCTCGTGAGGGCAGGTTTGGGAGGGCAGGAGCCTCCCGCGCTGACTGGAGCCTCCCCGGGCTGTGTTTCACTGTGTGACCCGTTGCAGATGCCAGCGTGGACCTGCTGCCAGGGCTGCTGCTGAAGAGAGACCAGGGCTCGGTAAGCGGCGCGCTGGGGTGCCCGTGTTGCTGCGCGCCCTGCTGCGCTGCGAGGCGGGAATGCGGCAGCCCCCAGGTCCCCGGGCCACCGCGGCGAGGCCACAGCTGTGTCCCTGCACCCCCTGCTTCGGAGTCGTGGGAGACTGGTCGTGCTCGGTGCAGGAAGAGCATCAACGGGAGTTAGCAACGCACTGACTGACAGCATCTGTTTTGCTGCCACTTCACAGGGAGCTTCCAAGCGTGGCTGATGCCCAAGGGGTGCTCAGAGCGCAGCTTTGTTGGCTTCCTAACGGCCTTTGGCTCCTGCTGCCCGGCCTTTGAGAAATGAGAGCTTCCTATCATTGACTTCATTGACTCCATATCATACCGTGGTTAATGATTAGATGTCGGGATGTTGGAAGCAGGCAGGGAGCATGGAGCAGGGAGCGGCCGTTTTCCAGAGAGCAACTGCAGGGAGACTCATAAGTCCTGCTTAGAGAGGCTGTGGTTGTTGGGATTTGAGGAGCAGAGAAGTTTGGAAACTTCTGTGTGGCCTGTAGGAAATCAGAACGTCTTTGCTAGTGGGAATGTGTATGTGGTCAGGTTGGCTGGGTTGCCTTCTGCCTTGGACGCGCGTGTGTTTTGGGAAGTGCATTAGTGCGTCTGCAAAGCAAGGGTGAAAAGGGCTTTACAGGCTGGGGGGTCCACACCAGGCTGGGCTCGTAGGGAGCTCTCGCTTCCTGGGGTAACGTAGCCTGGAGGCTGAGACCCAGCGTCATCCCTGCACGTCTGGACAGGGATGTTAGCAGGAGCTGATGCTGCGGCTTGTTTTGGCACTGGTTCTGCTGGCTGGTTCTTATGTCCAGGATTCAAAGGGGATGTTCAGAAAAACTGGAGAGGATTCAGAGAAGGCTGAGGGGAGGTTTGCAAGTTTCTGGAAGACAGACCTTGCTGGGAGAGGACTTGAGGACTTTGGCTTAGTTTGCAGGGTGATTCAGCCTATCTGTAGGAACTGGGCTACAAATGCAGCAACAAGGCGCTCCTCAGTCTAGTGTGCAGGTCTGTAACATGCTCCAGTAGCCTAGAAATATATAGGAGTGTTCTTGGTCAGCCACAAATATTTGACTTGACGCAGGAATAAGTTGGAGTGGCTGCAAGCCTAGCTAAGACCAGAGGCTGGGTTAAAACAGTTGGTTCGTTCTTGCCTTCAGCCTTAATTAGGTGTTTTTCGTCTCTGCCTTGATTGATCTACTGCCTAACTTGGGTTTGTTCCAAATGGGCTAGAGTTAAGGTGCTGGGGAGAGGAAATGTGTAATGTCCAGGGTGAAGGGAGGTGCAGGGTAGAGAGCAGGCGCTGGGGTGCCAGGTTCTTGTAGCAGAAGTGACTTGGCCAACCCAGGCTCCTGAAACTGGAGAAAGTGGCTGTGAGGAAGGATGCAGGGCTGCACTCAGCCAAACCCTTTGCCTTGCTGAGGCAGAACTGTTGTGTGTGAGCAGTTAAGCTCATTCCTGAGCCAACTGCCGAGCCTGACCAGCTTCCCTGACTTGCACTTGAACCTGTCCCAGTTCCCCCCCCGTCCTGTTTCCCTCCTGCCCCTCCAGGCATGGAGGATTGGTGTCTGGTGGTCAGGCTCTCTGGACATCTGCTGAAGATGCCCTCCGTTCTTTCAATTCTGTTCCTTGTGCTCCAGATGGTAAATGCCAAGAAACTGGAGAAGGCGGAAGCCAGGCTGAAAGCCAAACAGGACAAGAGGATGGAGCGGGATTCCCTAAAATCTTCTGGTCCTCTGTGAGTATGAAGGGTGCCTGGGAATGCGCCCAGCCAGCTGGCTATCCTGGAGCCTGAGCTTTCCTGCTAAATTCCCTTCGCTGTCTTCTGCCTGCCTGCAGGGTCCTTGAGGAGGCATCTGCCAGCCAAGCTGCCAGCAAGAAGGAGACCCGCATGGAGTCATCAGGCAAGAACAAGTCATATGATGTGCGCATCGAGAATTTCGATGTGTCCTTTGGCGAGCGGTGAGTGCAGATGGCCCTGGCTGGGGTTTCAGCCCGGGGTAATGAGACCAGATTGAAGCGGTCGGGAATGACAGAGGGAGTGGGAAGGCTCTGGGAGCAGGCTGGACACCAAATCCTGTTGGCTCCGGGCAGGAAAAGCCTTCAGGGGCTGCTTGGCCCCTCTGCAGCCTGAAGCCTGCTTGGGGCAGGAGGCTGCCTCCTCCTCCACGGGACACTCTGAGCAGGAGCTGCCCGCCTGTTTTCCCGCCTCAGTGTCCTGCTAACGGGAGCGGAGCTGAACCTGGCGTTCGGCCGGCGCTACGGGCTGGTGGGCAGGAACGGGCTGGGCAAGACGACGCTGCTCAAGATGATCGCGAGCCAGAGCCTGCGCATCCCCTCGCACATCAGCATCCTGCACGTGGAGCAGGAGGTGGCAGGCGACGAGACGCCGGCGCTGCACAGCGTGCTGGAGTGCGACACCACCCGCGAGAGCCTGCTGCGGGAGGAGAGGGAGCTGACGGCCAGGGTTAACGCTGGCAGGTGAGGTGCTGCCTCTGGGTTTTCAGCCCTTCTGCCATCTCTAATGGTTTGTTCTGAGATCTCGCCCTTCCAGCAGCGGCAGGACTGCATCTCACCCGCTCACCTGCCTGGGGGGATCAGCCTCCCCCTGCACCCCAACCTTGACTTCAGTCAGTCCCATGTGCTCCTCTTTGTCCATCTCCAGGGGAGAAGGGACAGAAGGTGCCAGGCTCKCGGAGATCTACGCAAAGTTGGAGGAGATTGAGGCGGACAAGGCACCAGCAAGGTGAGACAGTCCTGCAGGCACTGCTACCTGTCTGTTTGTGTCACCAAAGTTTGGCAGTGGTTTGGGGTATACAGCATGGAAGGGTGACGCTGAGCCCCTGGGATCCAGCATGTAGGGACAATGGATTCTTCWTAATGCTAGGTTTGTCTCTCTCCTTCCCTCACTGTCCTGTTGGGCTGGGAGTAGTTGAGCTTCCTCCTCAGGCTGGAGGGCAGCTTTTGCTGCCATTGGCTGGCACTACTGCTGCTCCTTCTCTCAGACCTCCAAAGGCTCCTGGTGTCTGGGGAGGATATATGGGATGTTGATGGCAGTGATTCTYTTTCTGGTCAAAGAGCTGAAAGCTTTGAAGTTGCTGTCTTACTGGGAGTCATCTCTGACTCCATGTGGATCCGGGGCCCTACTGCGCTGCATTTCATAGGCAAGAGCTGCTGTTGATCCTTCAGGGAATTTTTCATGCACCAGAGCAGCCTTAAGCCATACAGCAGAGTCCCCCAGACAGTGGTCATGGGTTTGGTACCTTGGAGTGTGCTCTGCAGCTCCACAGTATAGGTGAGTTCCAGTTCTCCTCTTTTTCTCCAGGGCATCTGTCATTCTCGCTGGGCTGGGCTTCAACACGAAGATGCAGCAACAGAAAACCAAGTAAGTCTGCAGGCTCTGGGCCTGGATATGTTGATATATTATATCAAAATCTAATGGGTCTAGAGAGATCCTGTGTCCCASCCGTTGGCCTTGGTGGTCAGCAGGGTTATTTCTCTCCTAGCAACCCCCCAGGTGCTGCCCTGGCTATGCCTTGGGCTGATGCATGGAGAATGGCTGTAACTGGGAGGGCAGCCCGGCAGGAGGCTGGGGGTCTGATCCTGCCCTTTTGGTGCAGTGTCCCGCTGGGGGTGCCAGCTGCCTGCTGGCCTGGGGAGGGGCTGAGCCTGACAGCACTCGTGCCATGGCCATGGACACTACAGGGACAAGCCCTCTTTAGGTGACAAGCAGAGCTCASAGGGCTGTGGAGGAGCCTGGCAGGCAAGCAAACTCAGCATTTTCCTACATTAAACACTAACACCCTGTGTGCAACCTCTTCTTTCCTCAGAGAGTTTTCCGGAGGCTGGAGAATGCGACTGGCCTTAGCCAGAGCCCTTTTTGCTAGGTAGGTGCCCGGGTGTTTGTGCCAGTGCTTCACCACGGAGCTACCTCTGCCTGCTGTCAGAAGTGCAGGGGAGCTGGCGGGAGGGGTCCTCACAGCTCAGCTTGGAGTGGGAGGTGTTTGAGGCATCGCAGCTCTGTGCTCTGTGTTAACCCTCTGCTGGTTTTCCTTCTGATGCCTGTGTCTTGCTTTTCCTAGGCCAGATCTCCTTTTGCTGGATGGTAAGTTGATACCATGGATCCCCTGTAGCACCGCTGGGCCTGCTCGTGCCCTTGCTGGCGTTGGGAGCGGAGCGTGGCCTTTAACTGCCTGCTCAAAATAGCTGTGTGTGACACAGCCGGTGCTAGCAGGGCTGTCAGCGCTCCCCTGGCATGGTGGGGACAGAGCTGGGACCATCAGGAGCCGTCCTCTGCTGTGAAATCCCTCAAGCAACCGCTTCCACTGAGCTCGGCAGAGCTCTGCTCATCTTGAGGGATGGCCCTGTGCCTCAATAAGGCGATCAACATGTCATCCTGCCCCAGGCAGTCCTCTTCTCCCCTCTGTCCCCGTGAGGGGATCCTGGCTTCCAGTTGACTACAGGGGGAAATTCATTTCGCTGCAGGGAATAAGGCAGGAGGCATTGCTGGAGCTGGGTCTTGGCTGAGGTGCCCAGAGGTGCCCAGCTGTGATGCAGAGCACCAACTTAGACACTGCTGTGGGGTATCGGGGACCAGGAACCTGTTGTGACCGTGGGGAACATCTCTAGCTGAGCCCTGGCTCTCAACACACCTGCGTAGATGAGTTCCCCTGAACCAGGGGAGAAGCTCTGCCCTCCTTGGGATGCCGGTCACTCGCCCTTCCTGTACAAAGAAGCGTGAGGCAGCCATCCTAATCCCCCATGACCTCGGCGTGTTTTCCTCTTCCCTTAGAGCCAACAAACATGCTGGATGTGAGGGCCATTCTGTGGCTCGAGAACTACCTGCAGGTAAGGGGGTGACGGGAGGCCCTGGGGCAGTGCAAGGCTCAGTCAAGGCTGCTCTGCCGAAGCACAGGGTTGCTCAGGTGTCCYTATCTCCTCCAGACCTGGCAGTCAACCATCCTAGTGGTGTCGCAYGACAGGAACTTCCTGAATGCGGTGGCCACGGACATCATCCACCTGCACTCCCAGCGGCTGGACACCTACCGTGGGGACTACGAGAACTTCCTGAAGATCAAGGAGGAGCGATTGAAGAACCAGCAGCGAGAGTATGAAGCCCAGCAGCAGTACCGCGAGCATATCCAGGTACCGGCAGAAACCAGCAGTGGCTGGGCACTGTTCTCCTGCTTGTTCCTTTCTTTGTATTTCTAGTGAGCTCCTAAATTGCCCTGCTTCCAGTAATCTCTGCTCTTTGAGCTTTTACTCTTGCTCAGTCTTGAGAGGACCATGGAAGCAGCTCTGCTGTGGCAGGCTTAGCAGCAGAGCAGCGTGGCCAGGACCAACAGACTGTRACTGTGATGCTCTTCCCTCCTAGGTCTTCATCGACCGCTTTCGCTACAACGCAAACCGGGCGTCCCAAGTGCAGAGCAAGCTCAAGCTGTTGGAGAAGCTGTGAGTGCCTCTTCCTCTCCTCTGCGCTCTGGAGATGGGGAGGGAGCTGTGATTTTAGAGAGAAACAGAGATGCTCCAAGGCGGCCTCAAAGATGATGTGTATCTGGAGAGTGGGAGTGATTTGGGTTTTGGGTGCCCTGTCTCTGATCAGAGGCTTTTTACTGGGATGAGGCTTTGTAGGGCTGGAAGCTGTATTCAGGCTTCTGGTGGGAGAAAGAGCCACCATGCAGCACATCTTAGCTCTGTGTCTCCTTCTCTTGTAGGCCAGAGCTGAAACCTGTGGACAAGGAGTCCGAGGTGATAATGAAGTAAGTGATCCTGAGCACTCACTTGGAGGGGACTGACTTTACTCATAATGTGAGTTGCTCCTGGGTCTTGTCCCAGCTGGGATAACCACCACTTCCTGCAGGTCAGCCTTGTTCTGACATGGAGCCTGGAGAGAGTCCTGCCTTCAGACTTAGTTTCCTCTTGGGGCCAGGGCCGCAGATCTGTGTCCCCTTCTTATGACTGTCCTTCTCAAGGGAGCCTCTCTTCGSGCTGATTCCCAGTTGTGCTGGGGTGAAGGCCGGGAGCAGGATCTCTGATCTTTCTAGACATCTCTCGCCTCTTCCTGCCTTCCCAGGTTCCCTGATGGCTTTGAGAAGTTCTCCCCACCCATCCTGCAGCTAGATGAAGTAGATTTCTATTACGACCCAAATCACTACATCTTCCGTTCCCTCTCTGTCTCTGCGGACCTGGAGTCCCGCATCTGTGTGGTACGTGGGATTGCAAAATACCAGTGGCTACCGGGGACTATGGGAGTAGTCTCCAACACCCCGCTCAAAACAGGGACAGCATTTAATGTTAAATCCAGTTGCTCAGAGCCTTGTCCAGCTGAGATTTGGATAGCTCAAAGGATGACAAATTCCTTCACCTCATGGGTGGGGGAAACTGGCTCTGTTGCAGTGCTTGATCATCCTGATGGTGAGGAGTTTTTCCTAGTACCAGTTAGAAATTGTAACTTGTGTCCGTTGCCCTTTGTCCTTTCATTGGACATCTCTGAGAAGAGATTGGGTCTGTCTCTATTTATAACTCCCTGATRGTTGAAAACAGCAGCATGGGCTGAATTGAGCAGGACAGCAAAAAGATGCTTTGTGCTTGGAAATGGGGCTGGGACAAGGTGATCCTTAAACACAAGGGTTGGGGTAGGAACATCTCAATTTCTTGATCTCTGCTCCCCTCTCTGAAGCACTTTCCTTGGTTTCATGTTCTCCAATGCTGCTGCTTCTCTAGGTTGGGGAGAACGGAGCAGGCAAGTCGACCATGCTGAAGATCCTCATGGGGGAGCTGGCCCCAGTCAGAGGGATCAGACATGCCCACAGGTAGCCGGTGGGATGGCCTGGGGTGACAGGGAGGAGTGGGGCTGATGGGCTGTGTTTGAAGTGAGAGTTGTCCGAGCGATGGGGACGGGGCTTGCACACSCCTGCATGTGCCCCCCTTCTGTAGCTGCGGCTGAGAGCTCTGGTTATCTGAGTATCAATGCCTCATCTCTCTCGAACTGCAGAAATCTCAAGATCGGCTACTTTAGCCAGCACCATGTGGATCAGCTGGACTTGAACATCAGTGCCGTAGAGCTGTTGGCAAAGAAGTTCCCAGGTGAGTGGCAGAGGTGCCAGCAGATGTGGGCCAGGGTGGGAGCTGGGCAGTGCCAGACTCTTCAGCTCTTAGCTCCTAAGCCAGGTGGAGCTGGCATCAGGGCAAAACCGAGAGGGCCAGTGACATTTCCTTTCCCATGCACAGAACAGCACCGACTTGTTCTGTGCTGGTGCTGCTGGGTGGAAGGCTCTGTCACTTGAGTACTTTGGGGGGATACCTTTTGCTCTGGGTTAATCCTCCTAGCAAGCACAAGCTGATGCCTGCCTTGCCAACTAAGCTAGTTTACAGGAGGGTTTATCAATCTGTCACAAGCCCTGTGGCCAGCAGAGGCTAGTGCTCCACCATAGCCATGTTTCAGAGGTAGGTATCTGCTCTGTGAATCGCTTTCCTTGCCAGTCACAGTACAAGCTGTAGCCTCGCCTGCCCCCCTTTCTTCCAGCTGCCAAAACCTCCAGCTTCCTTCCCCACAGCTTGAGGTTATCTAACTTGGTGACAGAGAATTCAGGGCAGTGTCACTTGGAGTCAACACAATCAGCAGCCCTGCAATCCCTGTCCTGATTGTGTCAGTCAGGTTCCCCCGCAAACCCTCCGCTGGGGAATTGCCTTAGCCTGGCTGCTCAATCCCTCCCCTGCCCTGCTAGCATGACACGGGCTGCCTGGCCTTGGCGCCGGACCGAGGCCGCAGCAAAGGGCTCTGTGTCACACCAGGAGGGCCTGAGGCTCCCCCACGTGCCACAGCTGTGTCGTGACACGCTCTTGCAGGGAGGACAGAGGAGGAGTACCGGCATCAGCTGGGGAGCTACGGTGTCTCGGGAGAGCTGGCCGTGCGCCCTGTTGCCAGCCTGTCTGGAGGTCAGAAGAGTCGAGTGGCCTTTGCCCAGATGACTATGCCCTGGTAATTTTCTCCCAGATGCTGTTAATATTTACATGGGTGCATCCCTGGAACCTGCTTCACTGGGGGAAAGGCAGCCATCGAAGGACCTTCTGCTCTCCGGGAAGCCCAGTCTTTGGGACTTTTGTGGGGAGGGGAATCGTCACCCTGCGGGGAGCGCGTGAAGGAGGCAGGTGACATTCTCCTGCTGCTTTGAGCTCTTAGGTGTCCTGGAGCTGGGCCACACCGATCTTGGGGCCACGCACATGGCTGTGGTTGTGGCTCTGAGTGCCTGGAAAAGTAGCCTGGATTCCTGCCCCATGCAGAGGTTCTCAGCGCTAAGGGGTGCACACTCAGCCTGAGTTTGTTCCAGGGCAATCCTCAGAGTTGCGTTCTCTTCCAGTCCCAACTTCTACATCCTAGATGAGCCGACAAATCACCTGGACATGGAGACCATTGAGGCACTGGCAAAGGCACTGAATAAATTCCGGGTAAGACTCTCTAAGTGAGATATCTCATTTTTCTCAACACTTCTTGCAGCCTCTGGCTTGGGTTYCTTGTGTCTCAGCCAAAGGTAAATGCTTTCATACCAGCGGTAGCCTCTAGTCCCTGGCAGATGGTGGGGAGAATCTGTTGCGTTTCTGCCATAGCTGCTTGTCCTGGTGTGTGGTTTGCTTCATGTATGGACTTTGGCTAGGAGTGGCTGAGAGAGCTCCCTGCAAAGCAGCTTGTCCTCATCTCGGCCAGTCTGTGATTTCTCCTCTTCTTCTGTGTTGCTGCATGCAGTGCTCAGCCCTGCCCTGATGCCCTTTGGCAATTCCTTAAGCCAAGCTTGTTTCGATCTCCGGACCCAGCTTGCAGATCCCACAGTGATGAGCCAAAGTCTTTCCATTTTATAGTGTCCAGGTTGGGTTGGTTTTCCTAAAAAAGTTTAATTGACATTGGAAGGAATCTCCAGAGATTTTTGGTCCATCCCTTTATTTAAAGTAGGGCGAGCTTGGATGAGGTTGCCCAGGGCCTTGCGCAGTCAGCTTCACACTGTTATTGACTCCACCTGGGATCTCTGTCCTTGAAGCTTAGCAGAGATTTGCACAGCCAGTAAGAAACTGCACTTGCTCCAAGAAGCAAAGCRAAATATGTTCTTGCTGCACGGTGCCTCTCCCTACGTGTTCTATCCATCCCGTGTGAAAGGAGATGCTGGAAAAGCAGGAGTTCTCGTGGAGTTTTTCCCTGAAATGAGTGAAAAGCTGATATCCTCTGCAGCCAAACTGGACCTCTTCACATCACCGCGACCTGGATCCCCAGCTTGTGCTGGAGCCTTGGGCTGTGGTCGGCAAGTAACGTCCCATGCTTTGTGCTTCCACAGGGTGGAATAATCCTGGTGTCCCATGACGAGCGCTTCATCCACCTGGTGTGCCAAGAGCTGTGGGTCTGCGAGAACGCCACGGTGACACGCATCGAGGGAGGCTTCAGCCAGTACAGGGACATCCTGACGGAGCAGTTCCGGAAGGAGGGGTTCCTATAAAGGAGGCGGGAGCGGGACTGCTGAGCGGGCGGGAGGGCCAAGCTCGGCCCCCTCGGTGCCCATCCGAACTGTGCCTGGCTGAGCGCGCAGGACGCCGCTGCCCCATGGATCAGCCGTGCCATCCACCTGCCATCGGAACCGCCCTCCTGTCCYGGGCCTGGGGGGAAAGAGCGGGGCAGCCCCGCTCAGCCCTGCACGCCCCTGGGCCCGGCCTGGTGGGGAGCGGGGGAATATCCAAGGGCCTTGTGCCGTGCGCGGGCGGGGACACGCGGCGGGCGCTGCTCGCAGCGGGCACCGCCTGCGGGCCCCCAYGCGGGCTGCGGACCCGCTCGGCCCCTGGAAACGCCGCACCTGGAGCTGCTGCTCTGCCGGGATGAGGGCAGGAGCCTGGACCTCCCCCGTCCCTGCTTTCACTCACACTGCCCTGAAGGGCAGCAGGGCTCTCCCCTGGTTTCTCTTGGTTTTTCTTTTGTTCTGCCCATGCTTTTTACTTTTTTTTTTTTTTTTAAACTGTGTGAACAGCAGTCAGATGCCTGTAAAATGATTGTCCTCTCCACTCTCTCAATACACTGCCCTCCCCTCTGCCGCCCTAAGAGGGGAGCGAGGCCTTTGCTGCTAACGGTGACTCCGTCTTTTCACTGGGGCGGGCTGGGTTTGTCTTTCAGCCCGACCTGGTGCCGTAGCACCGAGCGGGACAGCCGCTGCCGTGGCCTGGGACCGGGCRGCCGCCGAGCCCCCTTCCCCAGGCAGGGCTCCCTCCTCGTGCCCCCCGTGTCAAACCTGCGCTGCGGGGGGCTGCCCGGCGCGGGGCGGCCGCGGGGCCCGCAACACCGAGGGCAGCAGGTGCAGAACCGGAGCCTTTGCTGTCCTGGGGAGCGGCGCCGCGAGCCCCCGCGCTTCGGGAGGCGGGTTCGGGGGAGCAGGAGGGTGCGGGAGGGAGCCCCGCGTGCCGGGGCCGCGGCGCCGGTGCCCGTAGCCGAGGCGCGGGGCGGCCGCGCTCCCGTTCGCGCTCCCGTTCCCGTTCCCGCGGCCGTCGCCCGCCCCCCGCCGGGCCCCGCCCCCGCCCGTGACGCGGCGCAGCGCGCGCGCCGCACGCGGA